AAATTAGTAAATTAAACATGTGTGATTTATCTATTAATAATTAATAAAAAAAATAATAAAATAAAGCAAACAAGTCTAATAGTTCCGGGGATCAAAAATTTCAAAATGGCCCATGCCATAAAAAATTTATTGCAAAAAAATGGAATTTGTTAACAGCCCTGGTAAACATTTTTTATATATGAATATGTATATATAAATATGTATAAACATACCTAAACACGCATAAATATTCATAAATATACATATATGTATAATTCTTTTACATTTCTCCAAACTTGATTTTTTCTAAAACAAACAATGCGAAAATTTGTCTTTTAATTATTTATGATATTTTCTCATTATTATTATTTTTAAAAAGTTAGTAACAAGTAATTTTACAAATAAAAGAAGAATGTATGTACACGTTTGGACATATTTCATATGTAATTATACATATATGCTTATGAATATTATATTTATATATATTTATATATGCATGACAAATTTTTTATCGGGAGAATATGATGGTAAACTCTGACTGAAAACCGAATAAAATCTATATATTTAAATCTAAATATGTGGAATATATCATTTAAATAGTTATGGATGATAAATTCTACTTTTTTTTTTGGGTTCTCTGTTGTTAAATTATAACTAGTGAAACACGAGCTTAATGCAGAACACAGATAACGCCAATTTGCCGTAATATTCTCCGCTGGAAAACCGTAAGCATATCGCTAATATGACAAATTCTCATTATCTAAGCCACTGATCGGTAACTTTCCATTTCCATTTTCTATCTCCTATAAGTTCCAACAAAGACCTACTGCTATATAAAAAGAGCGCATTAAAATCGAAGACGATTTTTGGAAGTATCCAACGCCCGATCCGTTTTAAAGAAAGAGTGCGTTTTCTCGCGTTAAATATCAGGCGAAATAATTAACTCAGTTCAACCTGTTTTCCGACTATCGGCAGTCAGGTGACCTCGATAGGATCTCGAGAACAAGAGAGAGGAGATCCGCGGATGGGCACGCTCCAGAAATCGGCTTGCACGCGCGCGCGTTTTGATATCAGCTGATTCCTCCCCCACTTCGCGGCTGCCGTCACCCACCGCGCCGCGCTTGGTCCACGAGGCCGCGCATTCGCTCGATGGCTCGATCCGTCCATTCAGATCGGGACACTTCTGCTAGATAATAGTATCGCGCGCGTTACAGCACACGCGTGTTTTTCCGCATTTACCGACAACAAAGGAGGCTCCGATCGCGACGGCAGAGCGGCAAGGAGGAGCCGTTGTCGTCATCCCGCATCCATGGCAGATCATGAAGTCGTCCAAGCAAAAAGGTGAGCGAAGGAGGATTCGACCATTTGCGCCAATTTGCGCGGTATCGGAATTGTGACTCCGTCACAATTCGTCGATTACGTCGCGATCGTGAACTGCGATTGTATCGCGATATTACGTCATTTGGCGCAAGACGCGAATGACAACAAATCATCGCGCGGAGAAAGAACGGGCTATATCAACAAAGCGTGTAGATAATCGAATCGTGTCAACGATTGCGACGGTTTTAAAAGTTTAGCTTTGTCAGGTATCTCAAGGCCGTCTCTTGGCTAGATCTTTTCCGGTGCACATGGCGAATGCGCGAGCAAGAGCGTAATAATTGGTCTGTGATATAACGATATGACTATTAATACCCCATCCGCGATGTGCATACTTGTCTCGATGATGTGCAGAAGCATGACTTGATATAAATTGCAAATAACGCCGGATTCATCTTAGTTTTGTCGATACGTAATTGGATAATCTTTTAATCGCAATTTTGTCGATACATAATTGGATAATTGTATCTCAATTTTGTCGATACATATATAGTTGGATAATTTTAACAAGAAAGGTAATTTTATTTTATAAAATGCTGCAGTAGCTGGATTTGGGGATGGTTTAGCTGGTCTGGATCGTCTTCGACTATGTTACGTGCTGCGGAGAAGAAGATTCTGTCATGTGAGATATAAATAATAAAAGACAAATATTACTAATTAAACTTAGATCAAGACCGAAATTTACATTTATGCATTCAATCGAAATACTAGGCTTGAAAACGGCATATCGAGGATGGTTCGTTGATATTGGACCAGTTGTAGGACCAGCGGATAAAATATGGACTATTTCGTTGAACGAAGAATCGCCAAAAGTCCCAATAGTGTTACTACACGGTTTAGGAGCTGGAGTAGCATTATGGTGCTTGAATTTGGACGCACTTGCATCCCAAAGACCAGTGTACGCCATAGATATATTAGGTAAGACATAAAAAGAATCGAGTTCTCTTTCGCTTAATTATCTGCGATTTTATTTGATTCATATATTATTAATAATATAATGCAATAAAATAATGGCAAAAACACGAAGATCTTAATCATTACATTATATTCTTTCCCTTTTTGCTATTATTTTATTTAACGACTAAGTTCTCTCTGCTTTTGTCATTATTTTATCATCCATTATTCTTGACAAGTATAATGACTCATCTACATGACTAATCAGATCTGAACTTTGTAGTTGCGCATAAATCTGTTATTCAATATATGAATCTCTTATTATTCTTTTTTTTCTTTTATAACAATATGCAAAATATTTAAGAGCATTTTCAAAATATATATATAAATGATTTCTATGAGACTGTAGCGTAGCTTCAGACATAACTGAAAAGCAGTTAATAGGAACAGGGAATAACAAATTTCAACTTATCAGAAACCGTATATACTTGCTATTTCTTATTTTCTATTGTACTTTTCAATTGTGTCTCAGGTTTGTACGTCTGTAACACAACTATATTTGACTTCTAGGATTTGGCAGAAGTAGCAGACCTGTTTTTAGTAATGAAGCGCAAAAAGCTGAGGAGCAGTTAGTACGTACTGTGGAAGAATGGAGAAGAGAAATGCAGCTAGAGAATTTTGTATTGTTGGGCCACTCCATGGGTGGCTTTCTTGCAGCATCTTACGCTATGCAATATCCTGAAAGAGTTAAACATCTTATATTGGCTGATCCATGGGGCTTTCCTGAGAAGCCATCCGATACTGTTGCCAAGACAAACATACCATTCTGGGTTAAAGCCATAGCGTTTGCAGTACAGCCTTTGAATCCTCTGTGGGCAGTTAGAGTTGCTGGACCATTTGGTCAGTATTATCATAAACGCACTAATACGCAGTAATGTGCAATTATTTTCTTTTCACATCGTTGAGCAAAAATATTTATTACAGGACAGTGGCTTATTGAAAAGACAAGACCTGATATTGTAAAGAAGTTTACTCCCGTACTGAAGGATGACACTGCTGTAATTTCGCAATATATACATCAATGCAATGCGCAGACACCTTCGTAAGTTGCAAATTAAACATCTTAATGCAATTAAAAAGTATTAAATGTGCTACGTAATTATATTTGATTCACAGAGGCGAGAGCGCGTTTCATGCAATGATGCATGGTTTCGGATGGGCAAAAAATCCAATTGTTAAACGAATGGATAAATTAAACGATAATATACCTATAACATTACTTTATGGTAGTAGATCATGGGTTGACAATTCAGCTGGTGAAACAGTTAAACAGTACCGATCTTCCTCATATGTTAATGTTCAGGTAAAAAAATAATTAAATCAGCAAATGCTCTATAAAATGAATCAACTTACTGTTTGTACAAAATAAATTATTATTATAGGTAATTACTGGAGCTGGTCATCATGTCTATGCAGACAAAAGTGAAACCTTCAACAAATATGTATTGGAAGCATGTGCTTTAACTGACTCGATACCTCAATTAACATCGTCAAATGTACGTCCCTATAAACCTAGTGATCAAGAGATAGACATAAATTTACCCAAAGAAGTACTTGATGAACAAAGATCAGGGGAAAAAAACCTGAATACAGAATCAAAGATAAAGATTTAATCAAAGTCTAGTGTGAAATATTCTCATTAAAAAGGACATTCCAGTTCTGTCAGCTGGTACAAAGAAATATATAGTAAGCACATATTGTGATGTAAGAATGCCGCGAGATATATTGGACATACGAATGTATATTGTGTCGTGACACATGAACTTTACATAATTTATGAATGTAATAACGTAAAAGAGCGTGTAAATTGACAGACATTGGTCACATGTTATTTGATTGACTGTAAATAGTAAAAGATATCACGAAATCATTAATATAATACTTTATTTTCAATTTGGAAATTATGACGATGTATTACTGCATATGCGCAGAAAATATTAGAGGAATAGTATGATTTTGCCGTAAGTAAGATTTATATTATTTTTATTTGTTGATTAGATGTGCAATTGGTTAAGTTATTATATAGCGTACTATAAGAAATTTACACCAGTTAAAAGGGATCAAAAGTATGGGATGTAATCACATAATGGAAATTTGTACATTATGTACAGTCTTAGCTTTACTAACACAGGCCATAGTAGTGTCTAGTGAAGAGTGAGCATTCTTGTTATTGTTATTAATTGTATTATTTCACAGATGTAGCAAGATTTTATGTATATTGTACAATACGATTTATTAATAATAAATTATTTATTGTACACACATGTACAAAAAGTCAAACGTTAGTATTATATTTATATTGAATAAAAACTATTCTGAAACATCGTTTTGAAATCATTTTCGCGTATCATCCTGGAAATTATCGTTGTACTCGTTGATGTATTCGTCGTCGACGTAATCAATGTACTCGTCGGCATCAACATCATTCTCGTAATCAGATTCTTCATTATTCATCTCTTCTTCTAAATTATTTAACAGTTTCCGGCCATCCGACTGTTTCATGCGTCGTGCTTCCCTTTTTCTTTTAATTAGAAAATCAGAGAAGACCTTTCGTTGCTCTTCCCGGGTTAGGAACTTGACTTCTTTTGAAACTGGATCACTTTTCTCTGTACTGGTATCCATATCCAACATTCGTATTTGCGCAGCTTTCTTCGCCTTGGACACTACACTAGTAATCTGTAATAATTAATTAAAATATAATATTTCATATATCTTTTATCAATAAAAATATAAGATAGATTACCTGAGACATGATTTTGTGATGATCTAATCCTAATACATCGTGTCTCATTATTGGCAATTGGATATAAAATTCATCCATCTTGGAATTATCATTTACAATTGGTTTTTTGTGCAAAATCTGATCAACACTACTAACATCGGACGTTTCACTATCTTCCTCGAAAGTTATCATCGCCAATCTCTTTTCGACCTCCTTCTCTCTAAAATAGAGCTTATTTTCAACAAAATAGATAGGCGGCACCATACCTATGACACGGAGCTGTGATAGCTCGTGCCGAATAATTCCGGCACACTTCTGCAATGATTCATGATCAATTGGGGTATCACTACTAGATATATAAAACACATTGACACATTTAAAATCTTGCGTTATTTTGACATGAGTAATTTCTATACTTTCTTTTATAATGTCAGATACTTGTCCCATCGACATCATGTCTGTTATATGTTGCATGAAAAGTTTATCACGAATTATCATTCTGCGTTTGGTATGCATAGAAGGTGAGGTATTGGTTAAATTGATGTTTGTGACACTGCGTAATTCTGTGCTTGGATCATACCACTTTCTGTAACATAAAAATAAAGGAAGTTGCATTTAACAGAGTTTTAAGAGAAACGTTTCACTTTTTTAATTTATATGAAGCGTAGTCTGTCTTACTTTTTCGATTTACGACTTCCATGCACTAATTTTTTCATAAATCTACTTTCTCTATTAGAAATTGAACACATGCTAGATGAACTAATACATCTAGATATTTGGAAGCAAATAAAAAAAGAACGTGAACTTTGCATTTTAACGGTCACTACAATATTTAGCCGGCTTAGCACAATTTAGTTTCAATAATAACACTTGCACGTAATAGTAACCAACAGTAACAGCTGATTCAACAGATTTGCTCCTTCTGGCTACACTTTCTTGCACTTTGGCGTTTAAAATGAAATGACTGTATGGGTTGCGTAAGCTGCGTTTCGTAGTATTGTTTGTCCTTGTTTAATATTTGATGAATAACAAAGATGAAATAATTTCACGAGTGACTATTGTGAGCGTTAAATGAGATGCAGCCATAGTCGGCTTTAAAAAAAAAACAAAAGCTAAAAGTGCAACTGAACAAACTTACAGAAAGAATGTTATAATTTTTTGTTTCATAACATATCGACATTGTAATAAAATATTTTATCAACGATTCTGCGCAGTAAAGGTTATGCAAACCGTAAACATTAAAATTTTCAAAAATGGAACAAGAATATTATAAATTAAAAAGTAGCATATTAAAATTATAAAATTCTTCAAATTCTAAAAATTTCTAGAATATTATACTGTGTCACATTTCAATTACACCTTTTATTAATTTTCCTATATATTACGTGACATACGCAACTAAGCAATTTTATTCTGACAAGATTTTTTAAATACTCCAATTATCATTAAAAGATATCTTTATGCACATCTACATAGAGTATAAAAATATAGAACAAAAGGCCGAAGTGTTTTATAAAAATACTTCATTAATCATACAATACATACAATGACGTATTTTATTATATATATGTATAAAGATAATGCAAATTAATAAAACGGTG